GCCCTGGGTTCAATCTCCGGTAAAAACAATAACAAAAGGATATAAAATATAAAGTGTCCCGTTAGTGTTTTATAGTGATTGTAGGTTACAGTGATAATATTTTGAATGTATTATGTTAAATAAAACATATTACAAAGAAAAAAAAACCCCTAGGTTTCTCTGGTCTTCCATTAACTATGTCATCAGCAAGCCAAAACATGAGCAATGCCAGAAACTCAACTAAATAATTCTCTGCACCACAGTGGAAGCCCAGTGAAATCTGGCACTTCCACTCTTTGAACAGCTCTCATATTTTTAATTAAAATATTGTTGAACTTGAGAAAAGGGTACAAGACAACGAAACAGGTCGGGCTGAAAGTTCTCTGGAGGTATCAGGTGACTGCTCGCCAAGTGCCAGCATATTAAAACAGAGCATGCTTAGGTCAGTCACTGCTTCACCCCAAGACAACATTCAGTTTTTAATACAATCATCTATTCACTCCCAGTATATTCCCAATTATTATTCAAGAAATCAAACAGGGCAGTCATTTATTTTCCTGCTTTTTAAAAAGATGAGCTCTGGTAATTTCAGATCCTGTGGATTCAGTTCTTTCCTCCAGATGTTGTAAAGTGACATAAAGGTGCCCTGCTTCACCTCCCTCTGTGTCCTCCACGCTCATCCCCCCTGGGCCCGTGTGGGAACCCACCAGACACGAGGAGCGGAGCTACCAGGTGGGAGGTGAGCATAAAGAGGGGGTGAGGGCGGCAGCCAGAGCACTTGCCCCATGCCAGGCCCCTTGAGAACACACGGGGGCACTGTTCTAGGGCTTTCTGGGTCCAGCCACCAAGCACACTGACCCGCTGCACCTCCATCTCATCCCAAACTCTCCAAGATAGCCAGTGCCAGTCCTGGAGTCTCACCATACGAGGGGCTGTCACTAAAAGAACAGAATGAGGCCTACAAAGGGACATTTCCAAATGTTTCAAGGGTTCTTGCTACAACCTGCTTTGAAGAAAGAACTGGGTGATTATCTCAGTGAGGCTAGCTCCCAGGCAGAGTGGCACATGGCAGAGAGCAGCAGTTCATGGCAGCAGAAAACAGCGAAGAGGAAAGGGAAGGGCAGCAGCTGCGGCTTCTAGCCAGCCTCTCTCCCCTCCTTATATTGCAAACAAGCTACCCTGGGCTGGGGGTGTAGGGGCAATGTCCATGCCCTCCCCTTGCGCGGGATGAGGATGTTTACAAACTAAGAATCTTGGCTCTCTGCTGAGTCACTTAGTTAAACTTCTAAATTTCTCAAGTTGACACAACGTATCAACCAGTACAATCTACCTGTCATCAACTTGGCAACCACACATTCTCTTAAACCAGTTTTAGTTAGACATACCTATTAACATTTTACAACTTGAACATTGCGTTACATTAGGACCATGACATTTTTCCCCTGGACACCCCCCCAAAAAAGACTCATGCACATCCCTTTATGTCAAAGGCATTTTAGTCCATCTCTTAAGAGTTGCCGAAGTCCTAACAGTTTTAGCATTGTTGAAAAGTCTAAATCTCAAGTGTCCTCCAAGATCTAAAGCTAATTCTTAGCTGTGAGCCCCTATATAGATGAAAAACTAAACGCTTCCAACATTCAAAGGCACAATATAAGCATTACCACGTTAAAAGGCATAGGCAGTGGGATACAAACCAATGGAACCAAAACAAGACCAAAATTCAGAAGGGCAAATGTTAAGTCCTGCAGTTTTATGTGGAATATCCAATGTACCCTGTAGCAAGTTGAGAGCTCTAAAAGCCTCACATGGCTCCACCTCTATGACACGTCTGCTGGTATAGCTTTTCTCAGGCCTGTTTTGCACTCTTTTTGTAGCTTTTTTTAGACAATCTATGTTTTGGGATTTTTTTAAACTTTTGAAATTTTTATTGAATAGGCTTCTTGCTCACAGCTTTACACACTTTGAAATCTAGGTGGGAGCCTTCCTAACCTCAGAACTGTTGCATTTTGGGTGAGCCTAAAACCAGTACCACGTGGATGTTGCCAAGGGCTGCTGCCAGCTAGAGCAGTAGCCAGGCTCTTCTTTCTTTCAGCTGTAGGGGTCGAGTGTCTGGATTGCTGAGCACTCTGACCCTGATTTTGAAGAACAAATTTTTTATGTCGGCACCATTCTGGAATTTGCTGTGACCACAGCCTCCATTCTGGAACATGAGGCTCTGCAGCTTTCTCTTTAAAGCAAAGTCTCTCACCCTTGCAATTTTGAGGCTGCAAAGGGTGAGAACGTGCCACCTCTTGTGATACCCTCAGGATATCTTTTTTATTTTTTTGTTTTTTCTTGACAATGGAGATCCTCTCAGCTCTATCTTTGCATTTTATAGCTTTATTGGATTTATTTTTTTTTTGCGTGTAAAATATGTTTTATTGTTCTTTAAAAGGGTTCTAGGTTTGGTTTTAAATCAGGCTGCACACCTTTCATCAGTCTGACATCTCTCTCACCATGTCAAACTGGCTCCAGCTAACAATACTTCATTTAACCCAAAAGAAAAAATTGTTCGAATT